AAGAGATCAAAGGACCGTGGATTGTCAGATGAAATTCACTGTAGCCGATGTGCTTGTTCTCTCATTTTATGCAACTGGCTTTCTACTTCTCCAGAGGGATTTCTGCAAGTGTAGCAGGTGGTATTGGCTACGGCAAAAGAGGGCTGCACGATTATCCCAAACCACGTTAGCCGGTGAGTCAAGTGATTGCTGTTGAGCTGCTACTGCTTCAGCTTGTGGACTCAGCTACCTCTCCTAATGTAAGGGAGAGATTTCTGACCGTGTGTTCACTGGCGTCTACTCTGACCCAAGGAAGAAAGGCTCTCCCTACAGAGGCAAACCCAGAGACACGTACATCTCCTGGAAGTTCCCATTTAAGGCAACTGTGGAGGTTTAATGGGATGGGCCGATGGGAAGCCTCTGCTTTATTTTGGATCCTGACACGGATGCCTAACCAACCCAATAAACACTGACCTCCAGTTCGCCAGCTACCTAGTCGAATGCCCGTGGCAAAAGCCATCCAGCGCCAGACAAAAATGAAACCAGGTGGAGCTCCGAATACTCTAGCTCGGATCTGGTTGTTGATAGATCCATGAGCCAGAATTTCCTGATTGACGCTTTCAAGCCAGGAATCACAGGAGTTGGGATGACATCCTGTGAGAGGCCATCCATCCTCAAAGAGTCTTTTCTAAAAATCCCGCAAAGAGGAATTAGCTGATTTGTATTTCCCCTGGGCGCAGGGAGACAGGACACACTTAGATAAGGAAAGGAGCATGAGCTGGTGAAGATTATACAATTGGCAAACTTGGAGTGATTTAACTGAGCCAGTACAGTTATGGGTGAAGAAAGACGGAGACAAGGTATGGGGGCAGTGGGCCATAATAGTGTCACTTGAGAGGTAACATCCATAAGCTTGTGGGTATAACTTAAAGTGGCGTTTGGGATTAAGGACACATTGGTGACGTGTAAGACCAAGGGGTCTCTGACACCATGAACAGATCCAGCAGTGTGAAAGCTTTCCCCCTTTTGCAATAGATTGGATAAGAGCATTATTTTCCCAAGACTGAGAGGGAGAAAATAAGGTAAAAAGCAGCTGTAAGAAAATGGTATGCTTTACACATAATAACTGAACATTAGCCTACTGGCACTGATAATTTAAACCACTTCCAGTGAGGTGTAGAAATCTTACTTCTATTTAGGTCTATTGAACATTTTCAGTTTTTGTTTTTTTAAACCTGTGCACCTTTTCATTTTTTATTTTTTAAAATATTTTATTTATTTATTTCACAGAGAGACACAGCGAGAGAGGGAACACAAGCAGGGGGAGTGGGAGAGGGAGAAGCAGGCCTCCCGCCGAGCAGGGAGCCCGATGCAGGGCTTGATCCCAGGACCCTGGGACCATGACCTGAGCCGAAGGCAGACGCTTAACGACTGCGCCACCCAGGTGCCCCAACCTGTGCACCTTTTTAAAAGTTTTTATTTATTTACTTATTTGAGAGAGAGAGATCACAGGGGAGTGGCAGAGAGAGAATCCTAAGCAGGCTCCATGCCCAAGGCAGAGCCCAATGCAGGGCTGGATCTCATGACCCTGAGATCATGACCTGAGCCCAAACCAAAGAGCCCGTTGCTTAACCGACAGAGCCACCCACACACCCCAGTCTTTTCACTTTTAAATATAAATGTCAAGTATTTCCTCCTCATCAGATGACATAATTTTTGCTTCGACCATCAAAAGAATTTTTAAAACTCAGGAGGAAGATAGTTTATTATATTTCCTCCTATTTTTACCCATTCCAATCACTCTTTCTCCTTCCTAAAGTGCCATCCTCCTCAGGTGATCACTTCCTTTCTGTTTAGGAAACTTCTCTTAGCCGTTTTTTTTTTTTTTTTTTTAAGATTTTATTTATTTGACAGAGAGAGACACAGTGAGAGAGGGAACACAAGCAGAGGGAGTGGGAGAGGGAGAAGCAAGCTCCCCGCCGAGCAGGGAGCCCGATGCGGGGCTCGATCCCAGGACCCTGGGACCATGACCTGAGCCGAAGGCAGACGCTTAACGACTGAGCCACCCAGGTGCCCCTCTTTTTTTTTTTTTTTTAAGATTTATTTATTTATTTTGAGAGAGAGAGAGAGAGAGACGCGCGTGCAAGCATGGGGGGGAGGCGGAGAAGGAGCAGAGAGAGATGGGGAAAATCTCAAGCACACTCCCTGCTGAGCGCTCTGAGGTAGGGCTCTTGGTCTCTTGCCACTGAGACTATGACCTGAGCCAAAACCAAGAGTCGGTCGCTCAACTGACTGAGCAACCCAGGTACCCCTTCTCAGCCATTCTTTAAAGATATGTCTACTGGCCAAAATTTCTCTTAATTTTCCTTCATCTGAGAATGTCTTTATTTCCCCTTCATTTCTGAAGGATGTATTCACAGAGATGGAATTGGTGTTTGGGTGGTAAAGTGAACCACTGATTAGTCCTACTCCTTACCACCTCCTTCAGTTTCTTTGATGCTTCAGGTTTGCCTTTTTTCCCTTGACCGAGTAGGAAGGATATATATATCAGTATATATGACATTGCTGAGTTGCTTAAACAGTTATAGAGAGGCCACCGAGATGTTCAAGTGTGGTGGTGAACAGGCATTTTGAGAGAGTCTAAATACTCAAGCCAGCTCTCCTTGTTAAAACTGGGGCAGCATCCTTGTGAATCTACTTCTAGCAGATAGCTTTTTTTTCTTTTTTAAAGATTTTATTTATTTATTTATTTGACAGAGAGAGACACAATGAGAGAAGGAACACAAGCAGGGGGAGTGGGAGAGGGAGAAGCAGGCTTCCCGCGGAGCAGGGAGCCCGATGCGGGGCTCGATCCCAGGACCCCGGGATCATGACCTGAGCCGAAGGCAGAGGCTTAACGACGGAGCCACCCAGGCGCCCCTTTTTTATTTTCTTTTAAAGAGTTTATTTATTTATTTGACAGAGAGAGAGAGCGCAAGTAGGCAGAATGGCAGGCAAAGGGAGAGGGAGAAGCAGGCTCCCCGCTGAGCAGGGAGCCCAACATGGGGCTGGATCCCAGGACCCTGAGATCATGGCCTGAGCCGAAGACAGCCGCTTAACCGACTGAGCCACCCAGGTGCCCCTTGCAGACAGCTTTTTATTTTTATTTTTTAAAGATTTTATTTATTTATTTGACAGAGAGAGACAGTAAGAGCAGGAACACAAGCAGGGGGAGTGGGAGAGGGAGAAGCAGGTCTCCCGCCAAGCAGGAAGCCGGATGCGGGGCTCGATCCCAGGACCCGGGGTCATGACCTGAGCCAAAGGCAGACGCTTAAGGACCGAGCCACCCAGGCGCCCCTGCAGACAGGCTTTTTAAAAGTTATATGTAGGCGTGCCTGGGAGGCTTAGTCGTTAAGCGTCTGCCTTCGGCTCAGGTCATGATCCCAGGGTCCTGGGATTGAGCCCCGCATCGGGCTCCTTGCTCAGTGGGAGTCTTCTTCTCCCTCTCCCACTCCCCCTGCTTGTGCTCCCTTTGTCAATGTGTCTCACTCTGTCAAATGAATAAATAAAATCTTTAAAAAAAATAAAAAATCAAAATAAAGTGGAGTCAGGAGACCAGAAGGGGGAGCTCCTAGTTCCTACCATTCCTTATAAATTGCAGACCCCAACAGGAAGAGACATATCTTCCAAATAAGACATTACATTAGCTATTACTACCCCAGCAGGAAAAACAAAAGGTGTTTCAGCCCAGCCAATGAGAGATAGTCATAACTCAAGCCAATGAAAAGCTACTATACTTGGAACCCCGAATTTACTCTAATGGACTTTTTGTTTCCAAAAGCCAGCCCAGCCTCCCCCTTTCCTCTATAGAAAAGCCTTCCTGGGGCGCCTGGGTGGTTCAGTCTGTTAAGCATCTTCCTTCGGCTCAGGTCATGATCCCAGGATTCTGGGATCCTGCCCGAGTAGGGCTCCCTGTTCAGCGGCCTTCGGACCGGTTGGTGATGCTGGGGTCCTAAGATGGAGCCCCATGTCAGACTCCCTGCTGAGCAGGGAGTCAGCTTCTCCCTCTGCCTGCTGCTCTCCCTGCTTGTGCTCTCTCTGTGTCAAATAAATAAATAAAATCTTAAAAAAAAAAACAGGGAAATTGATTCTTACTTCCGGGGGAGGCGGGGGGAGGAATGAGAAGTCCATACCACATCCAAACTCTGTCATATCTCCTATCTATTCTAAGAACCCACTCGTCCTTCCTAAAAATCATTTAGTCTCCCCTAAATTGCCTACATCTCCATTCCCCTTCCCCTATTAAGATGGTATATAAGCTCTCAAATCTCACTGCCTCTCTGGGTGTTCACATTTTTTTTCTGTGATGTCCCTGTTCAGGTAATATTAAAACTTAATAAATGTGTATACCTTTCCTACAGTTAATCTGCCTGTTGTCGATCTATTTCATAACCTAGGAGGTGTGTACAAATAGAATATTAGAGTATAGAGGGAAAGTTTTCCTCCGTTACAGGTAAAAGAAAGACAATGGGGCAATTCAATAAAGAAATACACATGACCAGCAAATATAGCAAAAAGAAAAAAAAAAAGCGCCTGTGCGTTTGGTGAAACTCTACAGTGCTGCTGAGTTAGCAGAGAAATGCGAATTAAAGAAAGGTACAATGGGTCGCCTGGCCGGGTTTTCTGTGGAGACAGTGGGCAAGGGGGATAAGGTAAACAGGCGGAGCCTTCCCGGTAGGCCGTCGGCACGGAATCCGTAGAGCGGTCCGGACACTCGGCCGCCGCTCCGCTCAAGGACACGCCCCCAAAGCGATCCCTGGGGACACCGCCTTGCGGTCCCTTCTTCCCTCGGGCTCTGCCCTTGGGCGCCCAGCGGGAGGCGGGGCTTGCTGGCGAGGCGGTCCCGTGGGCGGCCCCGTGCCGGCGGCGGCCGCTCCGCGGCGCCCGGGCGGGGGCGTGGCCACAGCCGGGGCGGGGCTACGCTCGCGGCGGCCGCCCCGGCAGCCGGCGAGGGGCGGAGCTCTCCGTAGGCGGCTCCGGAGGGGCGGGGGCGGTGGCGGCGGCCGCGGAGGCCGCATCCCCGGCCGGGCCAGGGAAGGGGTGACCGAGGGCGGGGCGGCACCGGCGGCCGGCGGGGCGCCTCAGGCGTCGCGTCCACCGGCCCGGCCGCTCGCGCTCCCCTGGGTCTGCGGGGCCCGCGCCGGCCCGCGCCCATGGCGGCGTCGGCGGCTCTGTCGGCGGCGGCGGCGGCGGCGGCCCTGTCGGGCCTGGCGGTGCGGCTGTCGCGCTCGGCGGCGGCCCGCGGCTCGTACGGCGCCTTCTGCAAGGGGCTCACGCGCACGCTGATCACCTTCTTCGACCTGGCCTGGCGGCTGCGCATGAACTTCCCCTACTTCTACGTGGTGGCCTCGGTGATGCTCAACGTCCGCCTGCAGGTGCGGATCGAGTGAGCGGGCGCCGCCGCAGCCCCGGCCGGAGGGTCCCGCGCGCCGGGCCGCGCCGGGCAGGGGCGCCGGCATGGAGGACGGCCGGCGGGACGCGGCGGGGGCAGGCGGCCGGGCGGCCCGGGCCGCCGGGCCCTAGACCTGCGCGGGAGGACGCCGGCCAGCCGGCCGCCGAGCCACCCGGCCCGGCCCCGGCCACGAGCCGCCCGCCCCCCCCACCCCCCCCCGCCCGCGGCGCGGCCGGTGACCTATTGCACAGAAACTCTGCAAAGGGGCCCTTTGCGTCGGGCTCGAGAAGAAAGAGAAAAGAACCAAACCCGGTTGGAGTGCGGCCGACCTGTTGCCTCCCGTCGGCCAGAGCCCGGGAAGCAGCAAGGAAACATTCCGCAGCAGGGGCTTGACTGGCCCGGGTCCGCCAGGTAGGAGGCCGGAGGCTGGACCTGCGTGCGGGCCGGCGGCGGCGCTTGCCATGACAGCTCGGTGACAGGGGGACCTGGGGACGGGAGCCCTGGAAGCCAGCCCCCGAGCTGGCCAGGCGGGGGGCCGCAGGCGCCCCGGACTCCCCGGTCCTCATTCCCAGACGGGGGTGGGGGGCGGCGGCGGCCCGGGCATCTCGGAGGGTCAGCCCGTCCCCGCCCCGCTTTCCCCGGAGGCCCTGGTGCTGCCACCTGAACCCCAGGGAGTGGAGGGGAATGGGCCGGGGGAGGCGCCGGGGAAGGCTCTAGAAGGAAAAGATGCTGCCACCCTTCACCCCCCTTGGGGGGCCAGGCAGGGAGGGTGGTTGTGTTCTTGGCCAAAGCCCTGGTCGGGCGCCTTCTAAGCCCCCAGGCCCCTGGGCTCTGGGCATCTCCCTCCCGGCCCGTGGCAGAACTGCCTCCCGCCCTGTGTTGGGGGCCGGGGGACTGCTCTGGACCTGCTCCTGCTGCGCCCACTGCTCCCCTCCCGCTCTGGGGGCGCCCTCTGGCGCTGGGCGCCTGGACATGTGGAGACCCGGGGGAGGGGGAAGGCCGCTCCGCTCTGTCCCTGCCCCCCCCCCCCCGTCTCGCTGTTGCGCCAACGCAGCCGCCCGCCCTCCGGCCCCCACGTCTGCCCTGCGGGTGCCGCTGAAGGCCGCCTGCAGCAGCCCCGGTGCCCCCAGAGGAGCCGGGGGAGTGGGGATCCCCTGGAGCCCAGGGCAGCTCTCAGGCTGGGGTGGGGAGAGCGGCTGGAGAAGCGGCTTGCGAGGAGGCGGCCCTTGGGCGAACGGGCCCCACTCTCCGTGCGGAGGCCACTGTGAAGTCTCCATCTCTTTCTGTCTTTCAGGAACCGGGGTTTGTAGGTGGTGACCCACCCCTTCCGTGGCCTTGTCAAGAGACTCAAATCCGTGCCCAGGGGCCGCCCCTGGCCCCGGAGCTGCCCGGGGAGCAGCTGGGCAAAGGGCCTGGCCCAGGAGGAGAGAAAGGACCTTCCAGGCCGAGGCCCCGAGGGCTGGGGTAGCCAGTGGTCCCGTTCTGGCGTGGGGAAGGACGCCACCCTGTCACCTCAGCTCTGCATCTCCTAGCAACACTTTGAGGGCCTTCTGTTCTCCCCACCTGATGCTTGGAAAAGCTGGCTCTGGGACAGGGAGAGACGTGTCCTTGTCCTACAGATAAGAAGGGGTGGGGCTGAATCTGAGAACACCTGGCACAGGTGGGGTGGGGAAGGGGAGCTCAAGGCCCCCCCGGGGGACCTAGGGGGAGAGAGAGAGAGAGAGAGGTGCAGGGTAGGGAATGTGGGGAACTGGCTTTTCTTGGAGTGGTGTGGGAGGTCACAGGGAAGACCGTCAGCGCTGAGATGGACACAGGAGAGAGTCCTAGAACGCCTTGCGGAGTGGAGGTCTTTACCCACAGAGCCTGGCCTCCCCTGCCGCCCCACCCCAGGCTGGACCAAGGGCTCCTCGGCAGTTGAGTGGGACAAGCCTCTCAGTTTGGGTGGCAGGGTGGGGGTGGCAGGGGGTGGCGTGGCTGCTGGGGACAGGACGGAACCAGGAGGGTGAAGGGATGAACCTGGGATGGGGCTGGGACCCGGCACGACCCCATCTGTCTGTCCCCAGGCTCGCGCCCCCCTCCCCAGCCCCAAGCCCAGGATCCCACAGGAGAACCTCCTCTGGATGGGCTTGAATTGGCCCTGGAGGCCCCCGGTGTACAGCTCCCTGACGCACCAGGATGGCCAGGCGTGGTTCCCGAGGCGGGCCAGGAAGGACCCCGGTCCCACAGCCACTCTGTCACTGGTTGCTCTCGGCTCCCAGGCTCCGAATTCCTGGGCCTGAAACCCCAAGCAGGCTGGCCAGCCCCAGGGACACGGTGGCCCAGTGTCACACCTCCTGGCCTCCTCAGCCGCCACGCTGGAGGCCGGGTCCTGAGTGAAGAGTTGTGCCCGCCTCACCCCGGGGACCGAGGCCAGATGAGGCCGCCATGTGTTGTCCCCTGCAGCTTCCCACAGACAGGGTGTGATGGCTTCCCGCCTTGTGCCAAGTGTCCTGGGATCCCCGGTCCCGGTGGCGCCTCCTGTACCCCAACCCTTTCCACCCAGGACCACTTCTGGGAGCCTGCCGGCCTGCCGACTCCATCCACAGATGTCCGGGGACAGCGTGTGAGAGCCACGTGGGGCCTCCTTGGGGCTGATCCACAGATGTGCCCCTTGCAAGGCCCCGTCTCACCCTCGGGGTGACCTGCTCCCCAGCTGCGGCCTTGTGGCTCAGCTGGAGCTGCCTGGGGCCTGTGACACCTCTTGCCCACAGGGAGAGGGGTGGGGGGAGCCTCAGGGCCCTGGCCCGAGACGCCTGCCCCGCGGGGCGCCCCAGCCAGTGCCTGCCCCGCCCCGGGGGCCCGGAAGTCTCCGCACAGCCCCCGAGCGACTGGGCAGGGGCTGCCCTTCTTCGGCCTGTGGTCCTGCCTCTGCTTTTCTGACCGGTTTGGCCTTGAGTAGGTAGCGAGCTTCTCCCCAGCCCCCACCTTCCCTCTGCCCGCACTGGGCCCTGGCTGCCTGACAGGCTCTCGATGCACTTTATTTATTTGCAGTCTGTTTTCCAGGCAGCAGAGCTTCTACAGAATCCGAGACCCGGGCTGGAGATGACTGTCACTTTGCTGTGTGTGATTAACTGTACTGGTCAGCACCTGCTGCTCAGAGCACGGTCTCGTTCCCGGTGTTGTCAGATCTTGTCACTCTAAGTTAAAAAAACAAACCCTCCCTGAGTTCAATAAAGTAAAAGAAAACTGGAGGCCTCCTCTTCTGGTGTGGTGCGGTAGGCTTAGAGGAGGGGGGCCGGCCGTGAAGTCACCTGGGAGGGCCGCGGAGGGCTGCAGGGGTGGAGGCCTGCGGGGCCAGGGCCCCTGGAGAAGGCGGCGGCACGGGCCTGGCCAGAGAGGTGGCAGTTTGTCCCATTCACAACCTTTATTTGGATGACCTGATACCTAGGTCTCCTCTCTTTTGAGGGTGGGCTGGGGGTGGGGGTGAAAGAGGCTCCCTGCACATCATGTTGGGTCACCTGGAGACCTGTCCGCAACAGCAGGTGGCGAGGTGCCCCTTGCTTCCCTGCCAGCCAGGTGGGCGCCCAGTTTTGGAAAAGGTAAAACCATGGGGACCGGAAGCCTGCTGGCCTTCCCCCACCCCGGCCCCCCGAGACCCGAACTGTCCCTTCAGAGCCCCAGCCTAGTGACTCCCCAGAGAAGCCTGGCCATGGGCTCTAAGGGCTGTAGGGCTGAGGGCGGGCAGGCAGGCAGAGGGGGGTGGAGGGCGCCTGGGGACCTCAGTGGCTGAGGTAGAAGAAGGAAGGCCCACAGTCCGCGGGGAGGAGGCTCCTGAGGATGCAGGGTCATGGTCCCCCTGAGGAGCACAGCCTGGGGTAAGGGCCTTGGGCGTGCTCCACCCGCTGGGAACGTCCAGGGGTCAAAGCACCCTGACAAGACAGACCCTTCGGGCACCTGCCACCCAGAGGGATGGACCCCGGTCCCTGCCAGCACCCTGAGCTTCCCTCCGCTTTGTCCAGATGGTCGCGTTCAGTCCCTGTTGGTCCCAAACCCAGCCCAGGGATCACGCAGCCTGGTGCCACCAAGAGGGGAGGGTCAGACCGGAGCTCGGGGCCCCAGGCACGTTGGAGAGGGAGGACCACCCTTCCGTGCCACCGAGGAAGGCAGGCAGCTTCCGCTCTGGCTCAGGGCGGCCTCCTGAGCCCAGCTCTTCCACGGACCACCGTGTGGCCCCAGGCCGGCCACGGGCACTCTCGCGTCGCCAGGAGGGAGCCTGCAGTGTGGCCGTGGCCCTTCAGCGGTCGGTGGCTGCTCAACGTTTATTCCGGCCTCACCTGGAGCACATCGTCTCTATGAGGAGAGGAAAGCAAGCGAAGGGAACTGGCAGGTGTGGAGAGCCTGCCCAGTGTCTGGGGCCCTGCCGCCTGCTCTGTTCCCGGAACCTCCTCATCATCCCCACGGCCACCTTCGGAGGAGGTCATGCGAGGCTCTGGTCCCCGCATGAGCCGCAAGCTTGACCTGAGCAAGCGGAGGCTCCTCACCTCCTGCCCTGTCCTTGGAGTGGACCTTCCACCCACCGTCGCCCCACGAGGAGCTGTCCCCAGGTCGCAGCCTGGAGAGAGTGAGGTGTGGCTGGGCCCGTCTGGACAGCATGTGGGACTGCACCCGGTGAGGGCCTCCGTACAGACCCGTGACTCTGGCAGGTGGGTGTGTGGACACGTCCTCACGTGGCAGCCGCCCAGACAGGCCTCTCGGGTCAGTTCCCTGGCGCAGTGCCCCTGCCTCCCGCCCGTCCGCAGCGCTCCGTCCCTGGGTTCGGCTCGGCGCCCTCCTCCCCATGCTCCCTGCTCCGGCTGCCCGCGGGGGGCTTGGACAGCACGTCTCCCTGGTGCCCAGGCTTTCCCAAGGTTGACAGCCCCTCTTCGCCACCTTCCATGTGTGGTTCTCCGGTTTGTTTTGTTGCAAATGGGAAATGCCACTGCTCCAGCCGTTCCTCCAAGGTTCTGCGGCCCCTCTTACTGGAGAAACTCGAGTTGAGAGTTTAGAAGATCTTATTCCTGTGTCTGTTGCAAACCAGGAGAGGACAGGGTCCGTGCCGTTCCCATCCAGAGCACAGGGGTCAGCCCAGGATCCCCTCTGTCTCCACCTGTCCGGGTTTGCCGCTCGCTTCCCACCTGGGGAGCCCTCCCGCCCTGTCCTCGGTCTCTTGGCTGCTTCCCGCCGTCGTGCTGGGGACCCTCGACTGCGGCTGGAGAGCCTTTGTGGGATGCTCTCGCCCCCTCCTCCCGCGGGCCCTGGCTTCCCCCAGCCACCTTCACACCCTTTCTGGGCGGGCTCGCAGCCCCCCTCCCGGCTCCCCTCGGGGCACTGCCCCCCCCCCCCCCCCATGGAGGAAGAGAGAGGAGAGAGCTAAGCAGGAGCTCTCCGTGGCCCAGCCCGCTGAGACTCGGCCTCCCCTGCGGGCCTCACTCTCCGGGGCAGAGGAGCTGCGGGCCGATCCGGGCACCAGGAAGGCCGGGGCGCTGCTGGGAGGATGACGCCGACCACAGACGGGACCCTTCTCCGCTCCGGAGCCCCCCGCGCACTCACCCTGCAGAAGGAGGCGCCCCAGAGGCGGGGGCCCCATGGCAGGGAATGGCTGCCGGGCCTCGGGGTCTGGGGGACACCAGCCGGGTGCCCGCTCTCCCCTGCGCGTGTCCCCCTGCCCCGGCTGTAACGGGGACCTGACGACGCTCCCGCCTCCCTGCGGGGTTTTCTGAGGACCACGTGGCGGGAATGCCCGGTCAGCCCTGAGCCCAGTGCTCCGCACAGACAAGGGCTCCTTAGGTCCACGCTTCGGAGCAGGCCCGCCGTCCACCGCAGCGAACCTTCTCAGTGTTCACGGTGCCCCCGACACAGCGATGCCTGCCCTGCTGTCCCCTGAGTCACCCCCTCAGTGCCAGACTCTGGGGCAGGATTTCAGGATACAAAGGTGAGCCACTTCAGTGTGGCCCGTGTCCTCCTACCAGCGACAGACCCAAGACTTGGCCACTTGGCTTCAGATACACGCGTGTTTGGGAAACGCAATCAAATGCACCCTCAAATCAGGGGGACCCAGCAAACGGGAGCTCAGGGAGGAATCTGGGGGCACTGCTGGGGAAATGCAGGGGAGGGGAACCCCCCGCCCCACGCTTCTCTGCAGGCATCGTCACCGCTGCGGTGGGTCCGGAGAATTTGGGGCTTAGCTGGATGCAGAGCCAGCTGTCGGGGACTTGGGAACACGGCCTCCCATGCCCACAAGATGGAGCCACCCTTGCAGCCGGGAGCAGCGGTGGGGGAGCCCCTCTGGAGAGGATCCTTGCGTGGGGGACAGAGGGACGGAGACACCCCTGGCAGGGCACCGAGCTGCCTCAGGCAGTCCCCCTCTGCAGAGTCCACCTTCCTCTGGAAGACGGCCACAGCCCTGGTCCCAAGGCTGAGCAAGGTCCCGAGGTCACCACCACCCGGGTGGCCCACCACACAAAACAAAGCAAAGGGCCTGCCTGTCTCACAGCCTCGGCCTCGTGGATGCTCTGTGGTCACAGCAGCCTCTCAGGGCCCGCACCTCCTGCTTCTGTGCCTCGGCCTCCGTACCCTCCAAGGGTCGTTGCTGCCCTCGAGGGAGCCGGCAAAACCCCCAGGCTCAGGACCTCCGGGCGCGGGCCACGTAGGGCCCTCCCCTGCCACCATCGAGCCAACGGGGAGGCAGCAGACAGGCTCGTGCGGCCCCGGAGAGGTGGAGGCAAGGAGGTCCGGTCTCCTCCCACCGCGGGTGAGACAGCCAATATGGTGGCCATAGAGCAATGGGCCGGGGCGGGTGCCCCCGTGTGTGCTTTAGGGGGACAGCGGGCTCCTCGGTGAGGTCCTTGGGAAGATAAGAGCCTGTCGTGGAAGGCTTTTGAGCAAGGCTCCAGCCCTAGAACATGCTCCTCGCTCCCGACAGTGCCATTCTCTTTTCTCTGCCTAAGTGGGGAGACCAGGTAGGGCCTGGTCCGAACACCCCAGGGATACATACCAGGAGCAAGTGGGATTTCTCTCTGGAACGCAACGTTGGTTGCACATCTTGAAGTCAATGTTTTACTCCATATTAACATAAGCAGGGGGAAACCTGACCATTACAGTAGGTGCGGGAAAGAGGTTTGACAAAATCCAACACCCGTCCATGATAAACATTTTCAACAAAATTGGTATATGGAAAGGAATTTTCTCAACCTAGTAAGGCGTGTCTACATAATCTTATAGTGCGCATGACACTCAATGGTGAAAGAATGAAGCTTTTCTCTACACATCGGGAACAATGCAGGATGTGCACTTTTGCCCTTTCTATTCAACATTATAGAGGAATGAGCTGTGGAAGAAGCTCCTCATCCCCCACCCCCCAAATAAAAACATTCTGATTGGAAAGGCAGAAATAAAGCTATCTTTATTCACCGATGATCCTATATGGAGAAAATCCCACGAAATAAACATAGACAAAAAGGCACTAGACCCGTAAGTATTTCTGGCACAGGACAGAGGACACAAGATCAATATTAAAATAGCAACTGCATTTCTATATACTAGCAACAAAAATTCAAGAATGGAATAAAATAATTTGAAAAACACTGCTGGGAAAGTTTAAAGAAGCTCTAGATAGAGGGGCGCCTGGGTGGCTCAGTTGGTTTAGCGGCAGGCTCTTGATTTCAGCTCGGATCATGATCTCAGGGTCCTGGGATGAGCCCTGCGTGGGAGTCTGCGCTCAGCAGGGAGTCTGCTTGAGGATTCTCTCTCTCCCTCTGCCTCTGCGCCTCCCCCTGCTCGTGCTCACTTGGTCTCTGTCTCTCGAATAAATATATGTATATATACATATATATATATATATATTTTTAAAGAGGGTATAGATAGAGACATTTCATGGTTTGGAAGACTGAATATTGTCAAGATGGCAATCTTCCCCAAATTTATCTGGAGATTGAACACAACCTCTATCCAAATCTCAGCTTAATCTCCTGTCGAAATTGATGAGCTGATCCCAAAATGTATGCGGAAATGTAGATGACTTTAAATACCCAAAACATTTTGAAAAACAAAGTTGAGGATTTACCATACCTATCTCAAAACTTAGTATAAACCACAGTAATGAAGACAGTGTGGTGTCGGTGCAAAGATAAGTGTATAAATCAGTGGAACAGACTGAGAGTATAAACAAATCCCTACATATATGATCGATTGATTTTTATTGTGGCAAAATACACACGAGATTTACCGTTTTACCCACTTAAGGGTTACAACCCAGTGGCATGGAACACATTCACGATATTGCGCATCCGTCGCCGGTTATCAGGTTCTAGATCATTTTCGTTACCTCAAAGTGGGAACACCATACCCATTAAGCTCTCGCTCCCCATTCCTTCCCTACCCCTGCCCCTGGCAACCAAAAATGTGCTTTCTGTCTCTATGCCTCTTCTGGATGTTTCATAAAAACGGAATCATACAAGATGTGACCTTCTGTGTCTGGTTTCTTTATTTTTTTTAATTTTTTAATTTTTTTTAAAGATTTTTATTTATTTATTGAGAGAGAGAGAATGACAGAGAGACAGCATGAGAGGGTGGAGGGTCAGAGGGAGAAGCAGACTCCCCGCCGAGCAGGGAGCCCGATGCAGGACTCGATCCCGGGACTCCAGGATCATGACCTGAGCCGAAGGCAGTCGCTTAACCAACTGGGCCACCCAGGCACCCTGGTCTGGCTTCTTTAATTCAGCAAAAGGTTTTGGAGGTTCGGAGAGATTGTTGCCAGTGTCAGTACTTTGTTCCTTCTGAGCGGGTGAATTCTACTCCATCGTCCGGATAGACCACTTTGGTTTAGCCATTCACACGCTGATGGACATTTGGGTTGTTTCTACCTTGCGGATCTTATGGATGGTGCTGCTACGATAAACATTCATGAACAAGTTTTGTTTGAACACCTGCTTTCGAGTTTTGGGGTCCATATCGAGGAGTGGAATTCCTGGATCACATGGTTATCCCCTGTTGAACTTGCTGAGGAAACGCCACACTGTTCCACACGGAGGCCGCACCACTGTCTTCGCGCTAGTGATGGATGATGCCTCTGACTTCCCCACATCCTCTCCCATGCTTGTTCTTTTCCTGTTTTTAAATGATGGTCCTCCTAGTGGGTGTGAAGTAGTGTCTCAGTGTAATTTTAATCTGCATTTCCCTACTGACTAAGGATGTTGAGCCTCTTTCCATTTGCTTGTTGGCCATTTGCAGGTCTTTGTACAAAGAGTCGTACTTGGGGATACATTTGACCAAAGATGTGCAAGACCCGTACCGCGAAAACCTCAAAAGAAATGAAAGAACAAATGTAAATGCAGAGCTATATCATGCTCACAGATTTGAAGACTCGGTATTGCTACGGGTCAACTCGACAAAACCGACGTATGGATTCAGTGCATTCCCAATAAGCTCACAGCAGGGCTTCTGAAGGAGATTCTGAAGGAGATTACCAAGGTGATTCCAACGCTTACACATAAATGCAGGAGGCTGAGGACAGCCCAACACTTCTGAAAATGAACCGAGTTTCAGGACTTTGACTACCTAGTTTCAAGACTTACAGCCATCATCCGGGCCTTGTGCTCTTGCAGAAAGATAGAGATCGGTGGACAGAACGGAGAGTTCAGAATATACTCAGAACGACACGGAGGATGGACTTTGGACCGAAGCGTCAAGGCAATCCAAGAGAGCAAGGATAAAAGTTTCAAGAAATAGTACTGGAAACATCGCAAAAGCATGCCCATAAAAACGCAACTTGACCCTAAGCTCACATCACATACGAAAAGGAACTCAAAACCATGACAAAGATGTCAGAGACGAAACCACATTCTTCGCCCCTGCAGGGGACTGCAGTTCTCCGCTCAGCGGCTGGGCGGGCTTCTCCCCGATGTCAAATTTGAGAAAAAGTCAGACCCTGTCACCCCGGGAATCACAGCGAAACGGCTAACGCAGATGCCCTGCACGCTCCCCTTGACACCCACACGCCCCACCGCCTTTTTGTGCCCCAAGACCTCCTGCCCTCCCCCTTACCAACAACTGCCCTGCGGGGCCGACCGGCCCTCCCCCCCCAAGGCCCGAGCAACGCCCCCGCCGGGCTTTCTGGTGTAGTTCAAGGGAGTCGCCAGCAGGTGGCGCTGCTCCCACAGCGCAGGCCAGACTGGGGCGGAGCCAAGAGCCTTCCATCCAGCTTGGGCGGAACTAGCTTCCGGGAAATGGGTCGACCACGAGGATCAGACACACAGGTTTTCGAGGTACCCGACGTGCAAGATCTTGAGCAAAGAAGACCCGTGAACGGATGCCGTGCTTCGGCTGACATGCATGCTCCAGCCGTGATGCTCAAACACGGCGGGGGGAGCAGGGCGCCCCCGTGTCCCCGGGGTCTGCTCCGAACACCATCAGCACCGGGAGAGGGTCAGCGCCTTGTTGGATCGCGGCGCCGTGCGGCTGCAGCAGGCTCGGCAGGGGGGAAGCTGCTGGGTTGGAACGCTGGCTGTTCGGGTTAGGAGCGGGTGCCAGGCCCCTCGTCCTTGCTGTCTGCCCTTCACTGTCGTCGTGTGCACAGGGATTAGTAATTCCGAGGTCCCGTGCGCCGTCGGGGAAGCCACGCCCGTCTCGGACTGAACGCTGAGCCCGGAGGCCGGGGCCCGACGCGTGGCAGCCGTCGCGAAAGGAGGCCTCGTCTTTTTTTTTTTTTTAAAGATTTTATTTAGTTTTCAACAGAGAGAGAGAGACAGTGAGAGAGGGAACACAAGCAGGGGGAGGGGGAGAGGGAGAAGCAGGCTCCCCGCGGAGCAGGGAGCCCGACGCGGGGCTCGATCCCAGGACCCTGAGATCATGACCTGAGCCCAAGGCAGACGCTTAACGACTGAGCCACCCAGGCGCCCCCAGGAGGCCTCGTCTTTAGTGGCTGCGAGCCTTCCTTCGTAGCTCGTCATTCAGGCTGCTCCGTGTCCCGGACGGCGCCCAAAGGCAGCCCCGCGTCGGTGTCAAGGCCACGGACTCTGTCGTTGGGTCCAGCAGCCGCACCACTCCCCAGGGGCCGTGGGAATAGCCCCGGGCCTCCCTGGGCCCCAGCTTCGCGGCCGCGACAGGCAGCATGTGCCGCACGCCCCCGGCCGGCTGTCGCGGGGACCAGACGCCGCCGCGCTGCGGGGCTGCCGGGCCCCGGGCAAGGGCCGCCCTGCAGCCCGGGAGCACCGTGCACCGCGCGCCGGGCCCGAGACGACTCCTCCGCTCGCCGTGTCCGCGCCTTGTCCGGCCCCTGTCCTCCGCCAGCGCCCGGGGGCCGCGGGGCGGGGCGGGGCGGGGCGGGGGTGGAAAAGGAGAGAAAGGAGAACCTGAAACGGAGGGGCGTCCATCCGTCCGCGTGGGTCGAGCTTCGGGAGAGACAGCCGCCTGTGACTCCGACGGCTGGGCTGCAGCTCCGGGCCGCAGGGACGCCCCCGACGCTCCCGGGTCTCCTCTGCGCCCGGCTTTGCTGGAAACGGCCTGCGTCCTCGCGCGCCTCGCCGTTTGGCCCCCAGCAGCCGCCGCAGCAAGCCTCTTGGTGCCGGCTGGCTGGCTGTCTGTCTGTCTGCCTGTCTGTCTCGCCAGCGCCCCTGGGAGACCCGAAGCGCAAGAGCCCGGCCACATCCCTGCCCCGACTCTGTTCATTCCTG